GGTGCCAATGTTTCAAAATAATTGAACTGTCACTTGCATTCATCCCATATCCTCCTACATCTTTCACTAAAATAAAGCCTGAAATTAATATATTGACAAAAGATTACTCTGCCAACACTGGTTGGCATCTCCTAACTGACATACATAGGTGCAAGTCCAACTTATTCCTGTGTATGTACTTTTTCAAATACTAGATAAATAACTGTGGATGTATCTTCCCTCCTACCAATACTTTTTCAGCAGGAAAAAAAGATCATATTGGGGGGAAGCAGACGGGCAGCACGGGGCCACCCCAGGAAGCTGTGCCGCCCCTGGAAGGAGCGCTAAAATAGCGCTCCTTCCACAAATCGCTGAAGGTGCGCCGCAAAAGGCTGCCAGTGCACCTTCGGTGACTCTTCTGCTGCAGCGTGTATAGACGCTGCAGCGGGAGGTCATCCTCGGAGTGTCGGCCGTGCGGAGAGCCGGCTGCTCCAAGGACATTTTGGGGAAGGGGTTGGGGTACCCAGAGTGTGCACCGTCTGCTTGTTGGTGAAAACAATGGTCACTTGGGAGCATATCCTTTAGCAGTTTCCTGAATCATGATCTTAAAATAAAAGTGTCAAGATGTATTAGACTTCAAATTCCAACCATGTTTTCAAATGCAACATATGGAAAGGAGGCACTGAGGCACTTTGGGTGGGAGGAAATGCTATTCTGCCCTTAGCAACACTTATTAGTCAACAGCAGCTAACCTAAAAATGCAAGAACTCAAAGTAACAGAATATAACCGGGAAGAGCATCATCCTATACATTTCAAATATTAAAATCTTCATCAGAGTAAACTACACTTGAAAAAATGTATATTTGAAAAAGAAGCTGAATGTGTGAATTAGCTTATATAAACAAGCTGGTGTAGGACATGTACAAACAGTTCTACAAGATATTCCTTGCATGAAAATCCCTGGCCATCTCTAGTTTAAAAGTTCAGGAAGCAGGTGATAGTAAAGACCTCTGCTTGAGATACTAGAGAGCTATTACTGACGAGAACATATAAAACCAGGTTTGGATAAAAGGAAAAAAAAATCTGACCTCATGCTTGGATGTTACTAACAATATATTGTAATATTTTTGAATGTTTAATCTATTTAACTTTATAAATGGTTTGGTTGTTTTTAAAAACTTTATACTTTTAAATGCTTTTTTGTTTTTAATTTGCATTGTTTTTAAATTTGTTGCCAGCTACCTTGAGTCCCTATATCAGGACAGAAGTGGATGATAATAAACAAAGAAACAAACAAACAACAGTAAATAACTGTATGTGTGTGAGTTGTTAGCCTTCATGTTGTTTCCAACTTACGGTGAACCTAAGGTGAACCTGTCACAGGGTTTTCTTGGCAAATTTCTTCAGAGGGGGTTTGCCACTGCCATCCTCTGAGGCTGAAAGAACGTGACTTGCACAAGGTCACTCAGTGGGTTTCCATGGCTAAGCAGAAATTCAAGCTTTGGTCTCCAGAGTCATAGCCCAACGCTCAAACCAATATGGCTTGTACTTGCAGTTATTTTTTTAAAAAAAGAATGGTGTAACCAAGTTTCATTATGATTGCAACTTGAATTGTCATAACAGCACTCCTTCTGTCATAACACTAACGTTTCACTACTTTAGTTACCTTTTTGGCTATGGGGATACAGTCTCACTAAATGATGGAGGAACAATACTCTGTGCTTCAGGTGCTCTGACTTATGCTCCATCTCATGCTGCTGCCGCATGCTCTGTTGTATGTGTTGAGGTCCATCAAAGATGAGGTAGATGAGAACAGGATGTGTTTTGTATCACCAGCCAGGAGCCTGTAGCATTCACATAGTTTCAAGTAACTAAAAGGACCCATTTGCGATGTTCCAACACTGTACAGCACTGTAAGTCAGGCTATCTGATTATTATATTCAAATATGTTCATAACTTTATGTAAAAATTATTTTATTGGAATGTTTGTAATAATGTAAAGAGAATAGCATACATATTTTCCTTATATTTGACAAAAAAACCCCCACACCTTAAGAACACTTTTTAAGAACCATATATACCGGTACCTGAAAAGAGCTGTTCCTGATATATCATACACCAACAGTTTAGCTTGCTTTTGTTGAGATATAACTGTAGCTTCAGTCACCCACTGTACTACTTATCAGTTCAATTTCAAACTGACAAAAACCTGATTCATTAAAACTAGTGGAATATTCTGTTTCATAAAATAATTAATTGCAGTAAAACAGCCCAGACAACTATGGCCAACTGTAGTGTGTATATGTATACGTGGAAATGTTTCCATGGAGAAATTGCAATTGGAAAATTTTATTTACTTTTGCTAAGGAGGAAAGTAAAGAGATACTTGTTGAAATAGCTGTAACAGTTACTACTTTGAGACCCTGGATCTAGAACTGTAACTAACCTTTTTAAAAGCAATTTTCCAAGGCCTGTTTCCACCTAACACAAAGTACCTTCTTAAGTTCCTCGCATCTATCGTTCATGTTCCACTCTATTTAACCTTTTATTCGAAGTTACAAATCGAGTCTTTCTTATCTGAAATGACTTGAACCAGATGTGTCTAGGATTTTGGATTCTTCTAGTTTTGGGCATATTTGCATATACAGAATGAGTTATCTTGGACATGGTACCCAAGTCTAACCATGAAATTTGCTTATGAATCATGTATATGTTATACACACAGCCTGAAAGTAATTTTATACATAATATTTGTAATAATTTTGAGCATGAAACAAAGTTTGTACACACTGAACCATCAGAAAGCAGAGGCATCACTATCTCAGCCATCCATGTGGACATTTTTTGGATTTTGGAGTACTTCCGAATTCCAAACTCAACCTGTAGCATTGATTTTCTAGCTCTGTCTCAAGCCTGGGCCATTGATCCAGTGACATGGAGTGAAAAATCTATTCTTGACTTTTACAACCATTCCTCCTATTGGTAGTATGGGTTGTACTGGAGCCATCCAGGTGTCTGGCTGAATGGCTGGATTCCTGGCAGAAGTTTAACACCAGAAGAGCTTCTGTATAACTCAGGGCAGCTGCAGGATGAGTAGATATGCAGCAAATGAATCCACCAGCCATCCTTCTTTTGACCCTTCTCCATTTTAAGCTACATGTCACTCATTAAAAAATGTTAGAATACTGAATTTTCCAGATTCTGTGTAAGCTCTCTGGCCACCACTCTTCTATTATTTTAGGAAAGCAACAAAATGCAAAGTAGGTTATCATTTGAACTATGTAAGGCACATGTGTTTTTACCATTACCACTTGCCCATTTGTCTTGTGGGGCCAAAGTACATGATCATTTTATGCGACAGAACCTACATTTCACCATATGACAAACAGCAACTATCAACGGACTGCTTCATTCTGTAAAACCATTAC